ACAGATTTTGTTCTTTAGCAACATTCTTTTTTTTAATCATATATTATTTATTTATTTATTTATTTATTTATTTATTTATTTATTTATTTATGTGGTGGAAATGTTTTGCGAGCATGTAAGTACGCTAGATGCCTACAGTGCCAGAAGAGATCAGTAGAGGGAGTAGTATCTCCTGGAACTGGAGTTACAGACAGTTGTGAGCTACCACGTGGGTGCTGGGAATTGAACCAGGGTCCTTTGCAAGAGCAGCCAATCTCTCCAACCCCTCTTTAACAATTTTGTGACATTGTTAGCGATATTCCACATTGTCTGTGGTCTCCATCTTACAACAACTACAATTTTATAGTGAAAATTAGTTTAAAGTTGGGGCTAGGGATGTGGTCCAGTTGGTAGAGTGCTTGCCTAGCAGGCATAAAGCCCTGGGTTGTTTGCCCCAGTGCTGTGTAAACTGGGCATGGTGGAGCAACCCCAGCACTTGGGAGGCAGAGGCAAGAGGATCAGAAGTGCAAGGTCATCCTCAGCTACTAAGGGAGTTTGAGGCCAAGATAGGCTACACAAAACCCTGTCCAAAAACAAAAACAGGTACAAAGTTGAAATATCCTCATCTAACAGTGCCTAAGGCAAAGTGATTAAAGATTCTCTTACCTGCATAATATGAAATATTGTTCTCGGTTCAGCTCAGCAATATTGGAAGATTGTGGGTGAGCAATAGGAAAGACTTTTCAGATTGACTTTTGCTGCTGACTCTTTCTTACCACTCAGTGATAAAAATGAAATGTATCAGCTGGGCGTGGTGGCTCATGCCTTTAATCCCAGCACTCAGGAGGCAGCGGCAGGCGGATCTCTGAGTTCAAGGCCAGCCTGGTCTAGTAGTGAGTTCCAGGTCAGCTGGGGCTACAGGGAGACCCTGTCTCAAAAAGACCAAAAAAAAAAAAAAAAAAAAAGGAAATGTATCAACAGAGGAAGACCATTTTATAATGTTTTGATAAGCTGGGTGAATTTCAGTGTCATTGTATGGTTTTGGACAGAGTTATCAATCAAAATTTTGTAGTGCTGTCTTGGAAGCTTCTAATGTTTACAGATATTATCACAGTTAAATCATAGACATTAGACATCTGATGTGGGTACCCATGCCATCCCAGAAAGCCAAAAATGTTGGCAGGGGTCAGTTGAAGACTTTACTAGAAAGTTGTCCTTGTATTGTGTTTTTTCTTTTTAAAATTTTTTATTTATGTGTATATGTATACCTACTTGTTTGTATGTACACTACAGGTGTGCATGTGCCTGTGGAGGCCAGAAGACAGTGGTGGAACCCCAAGAACTGAAGTGACAGGC